TGGGAGTATATCTAACTGCTTCAAATGGAAAATTGTATAAGAACAATTACGAACCACTATGGGCAAAAGTCCAAAAGGATTTAAGAGATTGGAAAAAATTGCAATTGTCATTGTTGGGGAGAATTTCAGCTGTAAAAATGAATGTTCTACCAAAGTTTCTTTTTTTGTTTCAGATGATACCTATTCTTAAAAAAGAGGCAAATTTGGAGGAATGGCAAAAGGGTATCAATAATTTTATATGGGCCGGGAAGAAACCAAGGGTTAAATTTAAGATATTACAGGATGCTCGAGAAAGAGGGGGACTTAAGGCACCTAATTTGAAATTATATTATGATGCAGCCGCCCTAACTTGGTTAAGTGATTGGCTTAATTTAACAAATATGGATATTCTTTTTTTGGAAGGTTGGGATTTAATATATGGTTGGCATGCATATTTAATTTTTAATAAGAAAGTTGATCGGACTTTTAAATCACATATTTTGAGGAATGCCTTACTTCGTGTTTGGAAGAAGTATTATTATAGATTAAATTATAAAATACCTATCTGGGGGATTCCCAGACATGCAATTGAGGGAACCTCTAAGGGGACAAATTTTGATAAAATCTCATACAAAGAATTGTTAATTTGTTCTGGTTCGAATTGGCATTTGAAATCCCTAGATGTATTAAGGCAGCAAAATATTCTACAGTCATGGTTTCAATATTTACAAATAATGGACAGATGGACTGTAGACAAGAAAGAGGGAATAACACTAGAAGATAGACAATTGGTTATTCAGATTAAAAACCAAGGTCCGGCTCATATAAAAAGAATATATAATGTTTTATTAGAGTTAGATTCGGAAACAGAATTGGTTAAAGACTGTATGATTAAATGGGCTCAGAATATACAGGAGCCGATCTCATTGGATTTATGGGAGACAATTTGGACAAGAAATGTTAAATTTACACAAGCTCAAAATCTGAGAGAAAATTTTTATAAAATGTTTTATAGATGGCACTTAGATCCTAAAAAATTATCTTGTATGTATTCCAACATATAGCCCAAATGTTGGAGATGTGGCAATAATGATGCGACATACTTTCATATTTGGTGGAATTGTAAAAAAGTAAAGGCTTTTTGGATTATGATTTGGTGGAACATTCAAAAGATTTTTAGAAAAAAGATAAAGTTTACTCCTCAACTATTTTTACTTGCTATTTTTGTTGACTTAAATGAAAAAGAAACTACTTTGATGTTGAATTTATTAACTGCAGCAAGGTTACTAGTAGGTTTATATTGGAAGAAAGATTCTTTGCCTACTTTAGAAGAATGGATATTTAAAGTATCTAGTTTTGCAGAAATGGCAAAAATTTCTGCTTATTTAAAGGATCATACACAAGAAAGATATATTACTGTATGGGGAAGGTGGATAGATTATATTCAGAAAAAGTATGGAATTAAAAAGTTTTATTTATTTTATGAATGAATATCAAATATTATAGAGAATTGTTTTATAGGTTATGGAGTTAAAGGTTAATTATGATATTTTTTTCTCTCTTTTTTTTTCTTTTTTCTTAATTATTATAATTTTCTTTTTTTTTTAACCCTGTATTCTGCTCTGGGAAGTGAAGGGAGGGGGGGTGGGGGTGGGAGGGAGGGTAAGGGGGGGTTTCTCTATTTTAAAATTTTATTGTATTTTTATAAATGATTGTATGTTTTAAAAAATAAAAATTTTCAATTTAAAAAAAAAAAAAGCAAGTAACCTCCAGGAATTTACACTTGGACTACCTGACCAAAATAGGTAGATAATAAATAAATAGGTAAGGTTGCATAGCTGGAAGAGAGACCCCTGCAGAAAACATGGCTTTAATTCGAATAGCATTGAGCATTTTTTTACCACATAATAGCAACCCGTTTCTAGGCTATTTCCAAGATCTGTGCATTGTCATTTTATTCTGTCTTCTAAACTTCCATGTGTTTAACTTAAGAAAAAGTCTGCCACTCTCATTTTTTTCTAATCTGGCAATTTACTATCAGTCATTGAGAACAAATGATGATCGTATCACATTGGATGTCTTTTTACAGTGAATTTGTTTTTGATGCCGGTCACTTTAGTTGACAATAATCAGATTATGTCTGAGGTTTTCCTTATACATGACATTTAAGTCCTGGAGAATGTAACAAACAAGAACCAACTTAAGACAATTGTTTTGTGCAGTCATTTGAAGAACTGAGGCGTTGGGATGGTAACTTTCTTCCACTTATTAAAATTTGGAGGATTTTTCTGAGTAAGAGCAGAACTGTGATTTGGGTCTAATTAAAAATGATACTTTACTGGAACATGTGTGAAGCATTTAACTAGCAATCCAGAACTCTGGCCAAAAGAAGAAGCCAGTTTTGGATAATACAGGGCTCAGAATTAATCCTGAAATGCTCTTTCTAGCGTTTATTTTGTTCCAGATATTCCATAACGCTGCCTTCTAACTAGCTTAGCTTAGGATGCATCAGGCACAAGGAACCAGAAACAACACAGGGAGCTAGTTAGAATGGTATATTTACTGCTACGCTCCCTTTGACATGAATCTCACCAGACTAATGCACTCACTACAGAAACTACTAAACACTGAAAAGCTTTAGGACAGATCACCTTTCAGCCACTTCCTTCCCATCAATAACTCAAGGCTAGTTAGCCATGTCACTCCCCCACCTCAATTTAGGATTAACCTAGGCTCACATATCTCACATAGCTATGATTGTTTAACCATAGTTGACTAAATTAAGAGCTAGTTGTGTGTAAAATAGATGTTGCTACATTATCTACATTATCTTTCAACATTGCCTATGAAAGAGTGTTTGTTTAGCTCTTTTCGTGTTTACAGGAACCTTATATGTATGCTAACTTTTCTTAAATTAATGAAACAGAAATAGGTATATAAACTAATACTGGACACATCTAGTGAGGTGCACTAGTTTTGATTAGGTGCAGGCAATATACACATCCAGGCAATATACATGCTCAAGAAAATCAAAGATACCTGGGAACAAATGGGCCAAATATTGGTTATGGACCTGGAAGATCAAGGTTCAGGTCCACCCTCAGTCATAAAACCTTCTTAGCATACTTAGAGCTGTTCTCTTCCTCTCAGCCCAGCCTACCTTATATACTAGTTGTATAGAAAACTTGGAGATAATGCTCCCTTGAGCTCTTGAAGAATATATTATAAACCTGATTAGTTCTCTTAGTTACTTTGCCTTAGCCCTAGGAAAGAGGCAATGGCAAATCACTTTTGAAAAACCTTGGCAAGAAAACTACAGGGATTCATTCAGGGAGTGTCTGAGAATTGGACACAATTGAGTGGAAGGGGAAATTGTTTAATCATATTCAAAATGCTTTCCAGTATACTGAGTAATGCTTTCCAGTATACTGAGATTCATGTGGGTATTATCATATAGCCTGTGTTCATGGGTAATAGGCAAGGAAATTGAAAAATGTCCTTCTGTACATATTAAGTCAGCCAAGATATTTGTTTGCAACTTTGTGAGCTTTATACAGGTAGTCCTCAACTTTATGTTTAGTGACCACTCAAAGTTACAATGGCACTGAAAAAAATAACTTATGATTGTTTTTCACATTTATGACCATTGCAGCATCTCCATGATCATATGATCAAAATTCAAATGCTTGGCAACTGACTCATGACAGTTGCAGTGTTCCATTGTCATGGGATCATCTTTTGTGACCCTTTGACAAGCAAAACTCAGTGGGGAAGTCAGATTCATTCAGCAACCGTGTTATTAACTTAACTGGAGATTCACTTAACAACTGTGGCAAGAAAGGTCATAAAATGGGGCAAAACTCACTTAACGACTCTCTTGGTCAGCAGCAGAAATTTTGGGCTTAATTGTGGTTGTGACTTGATGACTACCTGTATTGTAAATTCCTCAATACCAACGTAAAAAATATTACATAGCAAACTTTGTAGATTGCAGTGTTGTTTTGTAAATCACTCTTGCCTTTTATTTGCATTCCCTTTTATAACTATTAAGATAAAAAGAATAGTGAGCTCTCTGTCCCTAATCTAAATCTGCTGGTAAGAGGGGGGGAGAAGTTGCACACTAAATTTTTCCATAAAAATATTACCAAAGTGACATTTTCCTAAGTTACTGATAACATATGCCATTGGCTTATCTCTCCCCCTTTCCCCAATCTTGGCATTGTCTTCCAGGAATCCTACTATACCTAAAAATACTAACGATAGTGGGACAAGTGCCTGAAATTGTGACCAAGCCATCTGTGGTCATTTTTGGGACATCAAGTAAGCTGAAGCAACATGGATTGCTCTACCCTTTTTTCTGTAACACTCAAACAATTATTCACAGTAAAATCCTTTTTGGCATTTATATGAACCTATTTATCCCTTAAATCCTAAAGAACTTTCGGCTCCTCAATGGCCACCAGATGGCAATATAACTACCTACACCTTTTTTTTTTCTTTTTTGTGAGCAAGAAAATTCTAAATTGTTTTGGAGCTAAAGAACTTGTAATCAGAATACCCCAATCCATATAATAAGAGAGACACCATTTATATAAAATCTAAAGCCAAGTGTTCAAAGTTCAGGAAACCTTGGGCTCTGTATGGTGCCAGGTATAGGAAAGAAAGTTCAAGGATTTTGGTTACATTCTCGCATATCTATTTTTTTGTTGAACTTCTATCACACCTTTGGTCGAAGACTTCAAGGCTCCATAGATAACACTTCCTTTTCCAAATTTCTCCCACTTCAGTTCTGTGTAATAGACTAACGTAAGAGAGTTGCTGGCCCAAAGTCATCCACTGAGTTTCCATGATGGATTTGAATTTGAATTTTCTCAGTCTTAGTACAGCATTTTAAATTACCACACTTAACTGTTCATAAATTGTTCCAAGATGGGTACATCTCAACCCACTTCAGTGATGACCAGCACCAGCTAAAGAAGACAGTGCTGAACACAGGAAGGGAAATATTTTAATATTCAAGATTAAGAATTAATGTATCCAATTTATTCATTTTTTGTGTATTCACAGAGCAGCAAGAGACACAGTAAATTCATTTAAGTACTTCATTTATATTTTAAAAAATTAATCAGCTGATTCTTACACAGCTAAGCCTTGCTTTATAAATATAATACAGCCATAATAAATTGCAAAGTATTAACTCTCATATATACTCTGCATAGCATTTTATACCTAATCTGTATAGTAGAGCTTGCAACAAAGGCATCTTAAATAAACTGAGGAAAAAGTGCCTGGTTTGTAATGTTTTTACAAAAGTAGAACGTAACTCATTGTTTCATTATAGATTTAGCTGAGTAAGCTTTATTTAGAAAAAAATAATTTAAATGTTTGGGGTTGTATTTAGTGGGTTTAGTTTTTGGACAGAAAGAAAATTGACCAATATAGCAATAGAGCATCTAGAATGGCGTATTTGCCCCATGCAGTATAGACAGTTTTGCAAATGGATTTATCTTCCTTTCCATTCATTAACAGCACATTAGTGAAAATTCAACCGTTTCCAAAGAGATTCCAATAATACATATTAAAGGAGCAGATTATGTTTTTGAATTGAATTACAGAAGGTGGCTCTCTTTTTTTAAGAGTTTCCATTAATTTTCTTCACTCAAATAGAGCATCTTCTGTATTGGCTATTTACATGATCATCAAGAGCAAAATATATGTAATAACCCAGTAACAGCATTGTGTGCTAGAAATTATACATTAAAATCTTTAAACTTCGGGAAAGAATTGGTCATTTTCAAAAATCTTGCCCCACAGTTCATGTAGAAAAGTACAATAGCAACTCAAGAGCTTTTGGAGAATATATAAGAACAGAAGGGCATTGGCAGAACCTTGATCATATATTATGCAATTGTAATGCATATACTATATACATCAGGCTATGAAACTTTTGGAATGTAGTACTGCTTAAAGTATAAAAAAGACAACTATATTTTAGTATATTTATTAGAGTCAGACTCTAAATTTGTGGAGAATGTATCTCTCCCAACTTTTCAAACAAACGAAAACAAAAGTCAAATGATAAAACGGGGATATTAGTGCTGGCCATTACAAAAAATTAAATTTCTCTTCTAAAAAGGAATAATGTATCAACTTGCTTTATATGAGCAACTCAGGATAATTTCTAAATGAAGATACCATTTGATAAGCAGCACAGAAAAAGCCTTTGAGTTGCTTTAATTATACAAAACGATGGACCTTGATACTAGAACTTCTAACCATAGTAATAGAACCAAACTAGATGACATTAGAGTTGGATTGAACATACAGGTTTTTAAAAATGCAAATCACATTCACTAGGAGAAAATCTGATCATTACCGGGGCTGAAGTAATTTGACCTTTTTTCCCCCCTCCTACAAGCCCTAGTACAATCACCCTTTTAAAATAACACTAGGTGAAACTTCAATAGGGATTACTCTTTCAAAGCAAATACTAGCTTCAACAAATAAGTTTTCTCCACAATTAGGGAGGGAAGATATAGATTCCATTTCCCAGACATCAGATTAAACCAAGCTGATTTTATCTGCATTTCTAAAAACAACATGAAAATCATTTATAAATACTCATTTAATAGTTACCTCTGGGCTGATTGTGAAAGCTATGACTCCTACAAGATCATTAAAATGTTATATTCTTGAACTGCAAAATCAAAGTAAGAAAGTGTTCCCCACTGTATATATTACCTTGAATATGATCCGAGATGGGAAATAGCAAGAAATACTTTAAGAAACTTTATTTTAATCCTTGCAATTCCCAAGATAACATTTGCTTAGAGACAGACAATATTTGTTCAAAAACATAGTAGGAATTTTGCATTTTTTTCAGGCTTTGCAAAAGAGGATCATAATATTTGGCCAACTGATCCTCGTCTTTCCCGATGTAGATAGACTATTTTTTCCACAAAAGATATCTGAGCTGACAGGACCTGGGGATAATATAATTGTAAAAGACTCCATAAATAAATAGTAGCAACTATTTATACTACTAAAACACCATGGTATTTAAATTTATTAGAATGTATAATTACAAAAGAACAAACTTCTATTCACTTTTTAACATAGCAGTACAGCATTTATTATGCTTTTTTTAAAGAATTCCCAGTTACTGCTTCCAGGAATTATTCTATGTATAAGGATAATATACATAACAGCAAACATTTTCTGGTTGGTTGACAAGGATTCAAAGTCCTTCATCATTATATACTGGAGAAACGGGCTTTACAATGCTTTGTGGATTAGGTTCCATAAGGGGGCGCCAAGTCACTTCCCCAGACAGCAGCAAGTCTTCTCCTGACATAGCATCCAGATGCTGCACCTGATAATCACAGCAAAATAATGCAAGTCACTTACAGATATGTTGAAAGGGTAATTCTTCCTTCAGGTTACTGATAGAAGATGGGGCCAAAGTTAGACATTAATAGTAAAACCAGACATTTAAAAGATAAAGTGCCCACCTCACCACCAAAGGATAATGTACAATGTTTATACAAGAGCAGCTGTTTTCTACACAGCAATTGTTAACAGTCAGCAAATGGGCCCATATCTTATTATTTCCTGAAATACAATATTTGTTTAATGAGTACTCCAGAAAGAAAGAATAGGTTGTCTTTGTTATTGAGAAAATTCAAATGCAATTTATCTCGACATGGCTTCCACTGGTTGCTCTACTGAAATACTCTAGTTTTGTTATAGTACAATTCCAGAAGGTTTCTTGATTATCAGCAGCTTCTCTAAGGTAGAGCTCTGAACACCCCACTAAAAGTGTTCTTCTTTACACTTTTTGAATTGTTCTCCAAGATACAGGGATTCCAGTCTCCAGTTGTTTATTTACTGGTTTAATGTACATCCAGCCTTTCCATCAACAAATGGCATACAAATGGCTTGCCATGTGCTAAATAAATACTAAATGGTTAATAATATATTTAAAAAAAACCAACTATGTACCATTAAGCCTAATTAACACACAATTAGAAATGTGTTATTAAAATAGCACCAATTCAGCTTCAGAGATGCTTCATAACATATATGAACACATAAGTTTCATTAAAGCAGCTGCATCTGTTTCAAAGAATGCAACTGCAGTAGAAGAAAGCTCCCCAGAACAGCTGTGCAATACTGGAAACAGATGTAAAAGTCTTGATAAGCTGCAGACAGGGATTGCTGAGAAACACCAAGTTCCTAAATAGCTCTTTCCAATAACAATTCCCAATTAACAGAATTCCATTAATTTCCACATTAAATGTGTGCTAGAATAAAAACTTTTCAGCCTGCCAAAATATAGCAGAAAGGCAGCTAATATGATTTTTCTTGGGTGTGAGAAGTCAAGAACTTTACAGATAAAGGAAAAAAACTGATTTCTGAAAATTGCTGTAAGAAGCAGAGTGACCAGGATCAAGGCATGTATTTTAGAGACACAATATTATGGAAAACCCTTAAGTTTAGTTATCAAAAGGAAAATCAAGAAAACTTAGCTTACCAAACATGAATTTTTTTCATGAAATAGTGAAGGAACCTACATATTCTATGCTGCTTACCTGCTTGCGCACATATTCTACCATCATTGCCAGCTGCCTAGGATCACTGCAATTTGTTTCAAACAGATTTCTCCAGATAGCTGCTGCAAGTACATGATCATCTGAAAGTATTCCCTAAAATAAATTTTTAAAGAAGATGATCAGATTTACTTTAAAAAGCTGTTATTCATATAGGACAATCCTTTACAGCAAAGGGGCAACTTATGTTTTACCAGAGGCTTGTTGTAAAGAAGAAATGACAGACAGAAAGAACAAACAAGAAAGCAGCATAGCATCATTTAGAACACGGGTGTCAAACTCGCCACGTCACATGACATGTCGCAACATATCGTGACTTTTTTTGCGTCGCCAGAGCTGGGGTGGGCACAGACTCCATATGATGCAACCGCAGTTTGACACCCCCGATTTAGACCATTCCAATCTTTTTTGCAGCTAACTCATGAAATGGTTTGTTGGTGTGCTGCTGCTAGTGACAGTGAGAAATATGCTATCTCAAATAGATTGGCTAGGAGGAAATTGGACAAGGCTTTCATAAAAGACACCAACAACTGTATTAAAAATCTTTGGCTTACAGCAGAAAATAAACATTTTGCAAATGGAGTCATTGAGATCTCATTCTTTTCCTCTTGCTTTTTAAAGATTTTTTTTAATCCTATATATTTATAAAAATACGAATCCCGGGCATATTTGTTCAATGATGCAATCTTCAATCTCCGGGAAGAGTATACTCCAGTTATTTATTGTTAAAACAACATTTAAAACAATAAAAACAGTTATATACAAGATTAAAACAACTTAAGCTTTCGCTGGTCCTCTGCCAGCGTCCTCAGAGAGGACATTGGAGAGGGGAAGATGGACAGTGGTGGAGGAGGGTAAACAGGAACAGCAGGTAGAGCAGTGGATTAGGAAGGAAAAGACATTGAGGAAGAGAACATCAATAGGAATGGTTGACGAAAGGCAGGAGCGATATGTTAATCAATAGGTGGGAGGGTTGAAGAAGGGGGGGAAGGATGACAGGAATGGACAATAAAGGGTGTATGAATCGGCAGGCTAGGAGAGGAGGGGAGTTGGAGGAGGGAGATGAGATAGGAACTGGCAATGGAATGCAAAAACGGCAGGTAGACCAGCAGCCCAACAGGGAGAATAAAAAGGAGGAACTCCGTGACAGGACTCGTGTGGTGTCGAATCGGAGGAGGCACCTTGCATTGGGTAGAGAGGAGGGGTTGAGTAGGGTGTTGGTAATAACAGCCCAGGGAGGAGGAGGCGGCACAAAGATGACAGAGCAGAAAAATACAAAATTGGAGTGCAAAAAAGAGAGGGCGGAACAGTTAAGGCAGTTACAGGCAATCAGGAAGAGTGGCCCTGTCACGAGGGCAATGAGTAGGCAACTGGATCAGCAAGGGGATAAAAAGAACTTTCCCGCCCCCTAAGCCCCACTCTGAGGACGCTGGCAGTGGACCAGCGAAAGCTAAGTTGAGTCAATCTTGAGCTACTCAGAATCAAACTCCTGGCAGTCTGCAGAATTAGCTTGCAATACTACATTCTAACCACTGCACCACACGGCTCTTTAGTGAGATCATTTGCACATAGTTTTTCAGGAATAGGCTTGTAAACACTTTGCCTTCAAAGAGCTAATTAATTCAGTTGTATATAACTGTTTTTATTGTTTTAAATGTTGTTTTAACAATAAATAACTGGAGTATACTCGGCGACGTTTCGACGAAGTCCCATTCGTCATCTTCAGGCTGGTGTTTTCAGCTTCGTGCTTTGAGCAGCAATGTGTGGTCTTAGCTGTTTCTTCCTTTTAACTGCCAGTGGGGGTATGAACTGATTGGGTGGGAGCTTGGCTGTGTTCTGATTGGGTGGAGGTGTGTTCTGAATGGTTAGGGGCTTGGCTGTGCTCTGATTGTGAGATGAGTTGGGCTGACAAAGTGACTGGCCCAAAATCACCCAGCTTGTTTTCATGCCTAAAGCAGGACTAGATCTCCTGGTGCCTTAATGTTAGTCGGGTGCCTTGAAGTTGTAGAGCAGGGATGTCAAACTGCCGCCCCATGGGCCAGACACATAATCTGGAAGCCGCATCCACCCCATTACCAGCAATGGCAAAACCGATACGTTGCACAACATCATGTGACGTCGCAAGTTTGACATGTCTGTTATAGAGGATGAAGGATTTGTTGCAGACTTGCCATACTTGAAATCTCTGAAAGGTTATTACTACCTTGTTCATTTTCACCTCTGTAGGAAAGACCAGCAATGGGTCTTCTTCTGTCACATACAGTGTGCACTACATCCCAGAAGAAGTTACCAAATCAGCCGATTTGAATAAGATATTTGCTAATCAAAATATTGTTCCTTACATTTTTATTTATTTCCTAAGATACATGTCACATGAGTCAAAGAAGCATAACCAGAGAACACACCAGGTCTCACAAATTTGCAGGTCTTCAATGAGGGGACCTGGAACATGCTGACCATGTCCAAGAGGTGTTTTATGAATAACTATCAACATCTTAAAATGCACTGGGAATCCAAACAGCAGCTTGCCCAGTAGAAATATGACAAGAAGGTGCCACAGTCATTTAATTATTTGCAGATTCAGGACTACGTGTAGCTTTTGAACAATCTTCAAGGGTAGCCCCATATAAAATGCATTGCAGTAGTTCAAAGAAGAGGAAACTAAGATGTGGATAACCATAAGAACAGTCTTAAAATCCATTCAGTAAAGCTAGACAATCCCCAAGAGTAGGTAGATCCTGAATCCATAGCTAATTTATCTTGGTATGGTCAAGTCTACATCTCTAGACCCTAACAATCTCTAAGCACTTCAACAGAAGCCCTTATTTGCTTTACTAAACAGAATAAAGATTATTTTAAAAATATTTAAAAGGAAAATAAAATAAAAAGGACAGCAGGAGATTACAGTACCTGTAGATAACAATATAGTTTTTAAATACAATATTAGATCTTGACTACTTTACATAAAATAACAAGCTATAGACAGGACTGCAGAATGTGTAATCAATCTATGGTTAGAAACAAGTAAGACACAAGGAGATCCAGGCAGCAGATTCAGCATTATGATGGGTTTATTCAGGAGCATGTATTAAAACAAATACAATTTAACAGCAAAAAAGTTAAATCTCAAATGAAATATGAACAATTTGGTATCAGGTTCCCAAAGAGATGCTATAGTTGAGAAACAGAGTGGATCCCTCTTCACTTAATGTTCAAGTAGAGACTAGACAGCCATCCATAAGGGATATTTTATTTTCGATTCTCTAATACATGGGTGTCAAACTCGCCACGTCATGTGATGCGACATATCATGACTCTTTTTGCATTGCCGGGAATGGGGTGGGAGTAGCTTTGGGCTGGCAGTTTGACACCCCTACTCTAATACAAGGAGTTGGGTTTTATGACCTAAAAGGCTTTTCCAACTTGGTAACGTATGATGGTTTTCCAGTGGCCACAGCACATTCTCGTAGCTTCATTCACCTCTCACCAATAGCAGATATAGAATATTAGGAAACATTAACAAACATTCAGGGCATTTGACCACACAATGAGACTAACTCATGTTAACACAGATAGATTTTTTTGTTTCTGTTCTCTGCACATTTAACTTTAATTTAACTGTTACATTACCTCATCATATCCAAAAATAGATGCATAGAAAACTTCTGTCAAGGTTCTCAGACTTCTTTTTAGGATAAGAGAATTAACCTGAAAAATAAAATCAATGCTGACTTAGAAGTAGGACTGGTATTAGATGCAAGAACAGCACAAGAAAGCTAAAGTCTCTTGCCTGCTTACTTGCTTACTTTAGCATAGAACATAAAATTATATAAAATGAATGTTTTGTGATGTATAGAAGTGAAAGATGCCTGTATGGACAGTACACCATGTATGGACAGTACACCATATTATTAAACAAAAAACAATGTAGCAGCAGTTTATCAAGGACGAAGCTCCTACAACTGATTGCAGGGAACTATCCTAACTTTCTGTTGTGGTTATCAGTTCTACAAGAGAAGGAAAAAAAAAGACACAAGCAAATAAAAATCATAATTAGCTGATCTCAACACAGTGCTAAACAAATTACACTAAATAAAATGCTGTAAGAGATGCAAAGCAGGATTTGAATGTTTAACTCGTAAAAACTGCATAGCCCATCAGCTGCTATTGCTAAACACAAAGAAAAGTCATGAACAACACCAACAATCTGATCCCTTAGATAAAATTAAGGCATTGTGGTTTCACTAGCAATAGCAATGGACTTATATACCACTTTACAGTGATTTACAGTTTACAAAGTCAGTCTATTGCCCCCAACAATCTGGGTCCTCATTTTATCGACCTCAGAAGGATGGAAAGTTGAGTCAACCTTGAGCTACTCAGAATCAAACTCCTGGCAGTCTGCAGAATTAGCTTGCAATACTACATTCTAACCACTGCACCACACGGCTCTTTAGTGAGATCATTTGCACATAGTTTTTCAGGAATAGGCTTGTAAACACTTTGCCTTCAAAGAGCTAATTAATTCAGGTCAGTCTGTTAAACCTACACTTTATATAGTCTTCCATTAAACTACTCTTTCATAACTTTTTTTTAAAAAAATAGTTCATACTTACAGCAGAATCATAAAAATTATTTTATGCGAGTGATTTATATTTCCACTTATACAAATTATTAAAATTCATACACTTTACCAGCCATCACAAACTGGTTGTGGGGCAAGTACTAAATATTTAATGAAAAAGTGCTAAAAATCATAAGGTTAGATTATGACTGCAACCTCAATAATTACTTACATTTTTACCAACTATATAAATTATGTCATTTTCACCCAACCACAGTTGTTCTTTGAATGCATGATCAGGACAAAGGTTTTGTTAACAGAATATGCTTCTGAATAAACTGTATTTCTGTCGGGGGAGCAACTCTCTTGTAACATACCCACAATAAACTACCCTTTCATTTTTAAAACAAATTCTATGAATTATAATATATTTACCATGCTTTTTTGTGAAATAAAAAGGTTACCATAAGGATTATTTAACACACAGTACAAATATTAGAAGAGGCAAAGAAAATAATTGTGCTTTACACCGTATCCCTTGCGTAGCAGCTTTAAAGCCAAAAAGGGGGCGCCTTTAAAAAGAATTATTGAGATAACAAAGCTAAGCAAGCATGCCAATAAATAAAAGGACGAGTCTTACACTGAGAAGAGGGAATGTACCCTGGATAACAGCACAATTTTAAGAGGGCTTCCTCATATGGAGAAACTCTATGGTTAACTCTAGAGATATAGTACTCCATTAAAGAAAATAAACTTAGAGAGGACTCTTTAGAACAATCTGTCTCAATCCTATCTTCCCAGAAATGCAGAAATCTCAACATCAAGCTTTCAACAATAATTATATCTTAAATTACAATCCTGTCTCAAATGTTATGAATAGTGGAAAACTTATAACTGCTAATAGCCACATCTTATTCTCTTGCAAAATAAGCCCTGCACAGATCTGTGAAGACCAAAACGTGGACTGGAATTACTTCCATATTGGCTTTTGATCAGAGTAACTGAAGAATCTTAGCAGAAAACAGCAATCATTCTGGAAGCCCAGAAGTTTTCTGAAGGCTTCAGATTAAGGGCTGTGCCCCAAATCCCACAAAAATATAAATTAAGCACAGATGCATTAAACCCACTGAAATCTATGGCTCAAGATTATTTTCAGAAGGTATACAGTGCAATTTTAGATACAACTACGCCCAAATGAGTCCAACAATGTTTAACTTCCAAATAAATATGCATAGCTTAGAGCTTAAAAATTGTTCCCAGATTGTCAGAACTAAAGAGTTAAAAGATACTCATTCCAAATGTGCTAAGATTCTTAGTTTTATATATACTGCTCAAAAAAAATAAAGGGAACACAAACGTATAGGATCCTATATGTTTGTGTTCCCTTTATTTTTTTGAGCAGTATATAAGCTAGGAAAGCTATCTTTGAAAAGATTCCTTCACAGTACTCAAGGGATAACATTTAAACTATGATTAATTAATATAGGAACAAACACTGGATGTACATGCTTTCTGCTTTTTCATACAGCACAATCCCAAGAGGATTTTATTTCAGAGTAACACTCTGATGCAAATCATGATTAGCTCAATTATGTTTAAAACAAGCAAGGTTCAAATCCATGTACAAAAATTGTTTATTTCAAGGAAATCATAATTGTAACTAATCACAGTGCACTGTCATTTGGATGTTATGCTTTACTATAGTTAATTTAAAACAAAAGCAAAATGTCTTCCTGTAGAAGAAAAGAAAGGGAAAGCAAGTATAGCTAAGGCCCACTTCATTTCTCTTGTTACAATCAGCAATTGATTATACAGCAACAACTAACTTGAACATTTCAACATTTTCATCCAACATATAAAGATATAAATACACTTGATCGTTAATTATCCTTATTTTTCCCCAATCTATTACTAATTTCTGGCACATTTGTTGCTATTTTTATATATATGGATTTCTAGACTGAGTTTTTTTTAAATGGACATTTTAATTATCCATAAAAGATGGCATATATGTTAACAGGATTTTTAATTTTTCCCACATCTTTCAAAAGTAAAGCAAGAAAATTCTGCTTCTTCAAGGGCTTCTTTTACACAAGGCATGCCTGCCATAAAACAGTTAACAGTAAAATATTTTCTTGCCAATATTTTAAGAGTGCAGAAGGTTCCAAATTGCTGGTAAAACAAACAATGCCAGACTGTGAAAACTCCTGGCTGCCATGCTCCTTGATATTAACAAGAGTTTCTTTATTGCTGTAACCTTTCTGAAGTGAATAAAAATTATTTCTCTGCCCTAGTTCTGCCCTCCAGTAAAAGGAAAAAAGTGAACCACAAAATGTTACAGAGTAAGTTGACCAGAATTCTGGAGAATTCCAGTCTTAAACATTTATTTATATATTATTATATAAATAGATTGCTCCTCAGTTGTAACAGCCAAATTGTTCATCAATACCACCAGTACTGTCTTTGCAAATTCTAAGAAGTTTGCGCATTTCTGTTGATAGATACATATGCAAGGGATAGTTTATGACAAAGTTTTCATCCAATGTCTCATAGAAGCAGGCAAATATTTTTCTTTCTAATATTAGAGAGAGGGGGCCACTTATTAATTGACACAACCTGAAACACTATTGGGAGATAGCCAGTCTTAAAGGTTTTTATGGATTTTTCTAACCTTGCACATTTAGAACACAATCCAGTAATTTTGATTTCAATGAAGGACAGATTGAGAAGAACCTGTTTCTATAAATCAATGGGTTAGTAAGATTCTAAATGAGACAAACTGAAAACTATACTTTTTTTCCCGAGGGAAAGTTTTGATAAGATGTGAGGTCTTCCATAAAGTTGAATGAATTGTATCATTATAATGTATGCTGAAGTGAATTATATGCATCTCAAAATAGCACCAGAGTAATGCTGAAGAGAAGGGCATAAAACTGGTATGGATCACTTTGACCTCAGTTGGGAATTGACATTATCCTAAGATAAACAAAATATGGAAGTAGACATCAGTTAAAGAAAGGAATATAAAGTAATATTATTTTAACAATCGAGATGGGAAGACCATTTAGAATTTAGAAACAAAGAAGCATTAATTTCACAAAATCAAGTGGTGAATATTACTCTTTTTGGATATGGCATATATATGAATAAAACCTAGTCAGAGATGGGTACCAAAGTGGTCTTTCAATAGACTTTAGTCCTCTTTATATCTTGGTGAAAAGAACAAATGAGAATATCAATTTGAAACTGAACTGTAGGAAAAAGTTGGGGTTAATACTGTTCTTCTGTACTGCTTACCTTTCTGCTTATTAGCATGTCTACCAAAACCTCTACCTGAACACCTCTCTTATCATGGGAATATTTTTAGATTCTTCTGTTGTTAGTGCTAGGAGCTTTCAGTTCCCATGTCCTTAGAGTGGAGTCAGGAATGGTTTAGGAATTCACAACATCCATGGGTCTATCTTAAATGTCCAGTTTTTACTTTGGAATAGATGGTTTGTAATTTGAAAGTGGACATCATGATTACTCCTTGGTCATAGCCAGACCACACTCTGGTGAGCTTATAATTCATTGGCACCGTACCACTGCAATTGATCCACACCAAATCTGTTGCTCTAAGGAATTTTCTCAAGCAATTTTATAGTTTCAGCAACTGGTCAGTCTCTGGAATTCAGAGAAAAGGGTATTTAATGTAATTGCCCTGAAACAGTCTCTTTCCACATCTTGAGCCAGGGACACCCTTGACTCACTGAGAAGTTCCAAAAGGTAAACTAGCAGAAACAAAACCTATAGTGCCAGTGCCAATAAAATGAGGAGTGAATATTTGATTTATGGGACTTTTAGACTTCGACTAATGTTTCACTATTCAAACAACATACAAAATAAAATTTTAAAATAAAAAACAACAACAATGTATCTTGATACAACATTCAAAGTGTCACATCTCTTTCAGAATGACAATCTGTTCTCCAAAGTCATGAGGTACGGGTATCTATAATTAAACACATTTTTAAAAGACTATGAGCAACAAGGTCACTCTTGCCTCTGAGGAGAGCACTTACAGAAAATACTTGTCTCTGTGTTCCCTCCCATCAAATGCAGACCATCAGAAACTACTCTATGTTAGAATACACTGAGTGGGCAAATTCTAACTGAAATAGGCAGTTCTGGAGATAACATTCAATGTTTCACAGGGAGAAAGAGGCACTAGATACCTTATCCTAAAAAAAATCTCACTAAAGAGTACTAGTCTCCAACCTTCATTTTTAGGGAAGTTCTTGTGGAAGTTAGCTCATAGACAATCTTGGATGATATGGATTACCTTGAACTCTATACTTGGATTTCAATGCAATCAGTAATTCTAATTAAATTTACAGGTTCATTTTCATTATACAATTTGTTACTTTAGACTTTTGTTATTTGAGGCATCCATGAAATTCAGAATAATTAATTGTAACTACTACAACTGGAAAGGACATCTTCTGGCCAAACAGGAAAAGAAAAGAACGGGGTGGAAGTTTTGTTTTAGTTACTTACAGCCAGATTCTTTCAGCTTTACTAGTGCAGTATGAAGTAACTTTAGTAAACTTCAAGTCAAATCAAGTTATAATGAGGGAAGGTAAGAGGGGCTACCAAGTATAAATAGCTCTACCTAACATAAAACAAAGACTTCATTGTACTCCATGTGCAGAATCAATACATGAATTCAAGAAACGCTTCAATGTGTTTCTAGAAAAGGAAGGGGCTGAATGGTCTGGAGGAAAAGCAGGAAGGTAGGATTAAGATAAATTAAAATGTGGTTGGCATATTGGGCTGGGTGGCCCCTTCCTGCTCCTATCATTTTGTACAATTTTTAAAGCAGGCTCAGCTACAAATCAGGATTTTATACTGAACAAACAAGTCTTAGATGTAGTGGGATTACAGTGTCCCTTCAACTTGAGAGCAACATTTTGTTTAAAAAAATGTTTATTTGCCACAAGGAATATTCATTTCAAAATCTGATCTTCGTTCACATTTTCCTCAAGATTTAAACACTCCTTAAAATTTTTAAAGAAACGAAGGTCAGGAATAAGTAAACTAAAAATGGTTTAGATATCTCAGCAACTTGGTAGTTTTGCTTCTTTCTGTTTGATATTGCACAAATCAATTTATATGTAGATATTATCAAAATTTGTTTTGATTGTACAATTTTAGATGACTCTTCATGTGAGTTTAGAAGCATTTAGGAGAGTAATTTTACTGAAAGTTGGTGAATTGCATGTTAACCCTTGGAAAAACAAGAAAAAAGGGACAAAAGTAGAGAAAAAAGATCCATTCTTTAAATCCAAGTTTTCATTTGCTGCTGAGACACTAAGAAAATGAATTAATATATGAGAATGCTAAGAATAGAGGCTTTCCTATTTTTTATTGTGTGTAGAAAGTATGAAGTCAAAGTTTCCAGGAATGATGGGAGACCACAAGATAATGCTACAGTATTATTACTTACTGTGAAAAGAGAGAGTATGTTATGTAATTAATTATCGACTCTAAAAAGCATACTTTGCAAGTTCAGGTGCTTTTCAGAAAAGTCGTCTATATACATAGTAAAAATAAGCATCATGGAGAGAATGTATCCCAAGATCAGGAGAAGGTGCAATGATATCAAATGTAGTTTCTCCTACTGGTTTCTTGATTTCCAGTTATAGCATTGATGACATAGGCTTCTAAACAACAAAATCAGAAAAAAATAATTTCGCGAATTGTAAGAATAACTCTTTATATGATAGTAAAAATGGACAATGGTATGGATTCAAAAGAAGAGACCACAATAGTACAGAATCTTGCTAAAAGAACCTGCTTCTGAAATAAATACATTAAAAATGGGCATGCCATGCCTGTTTTGTATAAACCTGAGAACCCAAGCAAGTAACTACAGTACCACTTACTCCAAGGTAAATCAGGCTGAACATCTGGTAGGAATTACATATTCTTGCATAAGATATTTCTAAAGATATCTAAACAGCTTTCAGAACCATAAATCATTAAAATGTTGAGAGTCCATGCCACAAGTTATAACATAAAGGCAATAAAAGAAAAACTGGAATACAATGAAAAAAAAATAGTCTGGGAAATGCTCCCATTTGGTACCCAAAAAAGAGGTCTGCATCATCTTTTATTGAAATGACTGAAAAATAACTGAGGGAAAATCAAGGGTGATGCTCTACTTAAGAGAATTTACCAAAATACTTAGTTCTAGATCAGAAAATGAGCAACTTTTTGAACCTGGCACTTCATAATAGCAGAGGGGAGAGTTGCTATGGATTCACAAGGATTCAAGATAGACCACTTACTTTACGGGTGTCAAACTCACCACGTCACGTGACATTGTAACTTTTTTTGCACTGCCCGGAGCTGAGGTCGGTATGGCCTCCGCATGATTCAACCGGCCCGTGGGCTGCCGGTTTGACACCCTAACTTACTTGAATAAGGCCATTTAAAGGTATGCTGGTTTTTGTCCTTTTTTTTTTAATTATGTGAAGCAGGCATTAGAGCTTATAGTGTCATTTTTCTCCCTGCTTCAACATGGCAGCAAAACATGCTGTCAATTTTGGGGACTGCAGAACACAAGTACAGGGCCAGGTATATTTCTGATAATTGTTTGACTACTTTGCTTTACAACAGTAAATGTAGACTGTGATTTCAGGGTCAATGACTCCTGAAACCTTAGATGTGGCCTTTAAAAGAATTTTCTTTTGTAACAAATTATAATTTTTATTGCCAGAAGAACTGACATGATTGGAAAGTAACTACATTTATGTTAACTAAAGTTAATGGTACATTAAATCAAATGTAAAGGTAAATTAAATGAAACTAATTTTTTGTTCAGGCTGATTCCCTAGCTTTTTGAGTAGAGCTTTCAACCCATCATTTAAAGACCAAATGTGGCCCTTGTTTCAGAAAAAAACCCACTCCACTCTTGTACATCATTACTCTAAAAGATTTCTAACTTTCATTTTCTCAGAACCAATATGTGCAAATTTACAGATTACTATGTAGTTCTGTTTCATATTTATATATAGACAATTATACCTTGCTTAATGGAAGTTAGGCATAAGCTGTTTGTAAAATTACACCTTCAGCAAACTGATTAAGCGACAAAACCTTTAATTAAGCATAACCTTCTGCTTAAATTGAAATGGAATATTATGACCACCAGCTTGGAACAAGATGGGATGATAAGAAGCTAACTTCGAAGTATGATTTAATATTCTTGTTCTTAAGCTGATATCCACTATATATCTCTATTTGGATGGAATATAAAAATCATTTTAAAACTGTAATGCAACTCAAAAGAGAATCATAGAAGCTCAATGCATAAGCAAAATATTCATGTACATTCAGATAATAAAATATGATATGATTATCTATATGCCTATCTTATTGAGTCACATTTATTAATATGATAGTGGTGATTGAGATGAGTGTTGTTTTTCATGCAGCAATTTACATATTTACATTTTACAAAAATAAAGCCCATGTTTTTGCTCAAACTCACAAAACTGAATAGCTGGCAGTTTAGGCAACTATGTGGTGTAAATTGCACAACCAGAGTGAAATTAAGTTATTTTTAATGATGCCTAATATTACAATTAACACTTTAAATCACAGTATCAAATTAATTTTTATGCTTTTTTAAAAGTTTGGTAGAAAAATCAGAAGTGAAAAAATTAGATAAAGAATATCGGTTAGCCACAAAACTGGACACACCTGGTACATAATCAACAAAATTAACTTCGGGTTTTAGGGGCAGCAGAATAAAATTTATATATGAAACCTGCCAGCACCAGTAGAATTGCTGAGGCCAAAGGCTTTCTTTTTGTTTTTACAGCTGCTTCAAGTTTTGGTTCCCTCTTGCCAACAATCAAAAGAACTGAAAGAACCCAGGTTAAAGAGTTCCAACATTTTGCAGCTAAGATTCATATTGCAACAATTTTAACAGCCAGTCTATGAATTAATATACTGTTTAAAACTAGGAAAAGCATAAGTTGGAAGTGAAAATGCAGTAGGCTGCCTTGATTCAAATCATGATGTTCTCACATTGGTAACACCAAATAGCAAGTTGTAAAACTAAAGAAAGTGTCCATATCTCAATCTATAAGCATATATCATTTCAACATTACTTACTGTAATTTACTTATCATATTTTAGAAACTGCAGATTTTCCTCATAAAGCAACTCTGTGTATACACTAGCTATGTCTTACCACAACATGCAAGTTTGTTGTAGCATTTTACTTGCTTTTCCGAATTACTTTCTTCATTTTGTTTTTTTCAGCAATGTTATTTTTTCAAATTATTCCAAAGTTTGCATTTAAAGAAAGTTTTATTGAACAATTGTATATAGCTGGATCTTATATTTCTTTATGGTATTTATACTGTTAAAACTACTAACTATGGCTATATAATAATCAATTTATATTGCAGTGTGCATGCATGAAATAAATTTAATATCTGTAAATGAAACATTTCTATACTTCGGCTTAAGAAGTTTATGAATTGTAATTTCTTTTAGCCTGGAATGCATCTTTAGTTAATTTTTACTCTTTAAAAGACAGATATTCTCTCTCTGCTAGAAATTCTTCAACCGGGACATAAAAAGTGAATTGTTCTAAGTTAAAGAAGCAAGTCTTTTTAAAACTAATATTATGAATTATTGAGATTTTTTTAAAAACAAAATTCAGAAAATACTAATCTAGTTTGTATTGTGAGGTAACTTGGGCCAAGAAAAAATGACTGGCCCAAGGTCACTCAGCTATACGTTATTATTTTCATATAATATTTAGGATTTCAAGTTTAAAACAATCTGGATTTTCTACTAGCAACATATTTCCATTTCTGTGATTAATACTGAACATAGACATTGTGCCACATCCACTAGTGGGGGCAGGGGGGAGAGACACATGTAGAAAAGTGGCAGGGCTTGAGCCACGATGATGCAATTTGCCAGTCTGAGCAATGCTGCTGTTATTCATACCAGACATTAGCCTCCGATTTTTCCTCACGTACTTCTCCAATATACTTTTATATGTGTATTATTGAACAAAGTAGAATGAAGACGATACATAAGTGATCAATGAATCCACATCAAGAAATACTCACTCCCATAACCTTCCCACGTTGCTCAGCATCTTCCCACATAGCATATACTATATAGTAACACATGTATTTTCCTGCTCGTCCCTCTTGCTTCATTCGTACTAAGCACATCCTAGAGGAAAGCAAATCATTTTTTAAAAATACAGACACATATAAAAATAAAGATGGAAAATATATTGAAAAGAAAATAAACCAAAAATTAAACAAATTTCAAGAGAATGGTAAAAAGTCTGATTTTAAGAGTATAGTATATAGTAAAATCACTTTAGGATATAAAATAATACAACTTCCAGTAGAGTATTTCACAGCCACAGCATTTTATAGATCACAGGAAAGTGACTGATTAATTTATATTATCTCTTTTAACTTTCCAGCTATAGGACTGCAATATTAATAAATGATCATAAAGACAGCAGAGAAAACCCATTCAGAATCTCACTTTTAGACACATGTACTTAGAACTCCAATAGTTTTCAACTAATGTTTAATCCCAGACAAATATGTTGTTAAGACTGGAGCCACAAATTCAATTCATTGGAATGAATATTCAACTAAACATGGAAATCAAGCTGTCTCCTAAAATGAGAATATATAAGGTTACTATATATCTTTTGGTACAAAACTGGGAACAGTATCAATTCTTTCAAATAAAGAATCAATTTCTTTGATAAAGAAAGCAAATTCAATGTATGTATCAGGTACTTTCAATTTCTGTGTCAAAACAATGTCACTCTAGAAACTGACAATTCAATGTATTAAAAAAGGTACTGGTTCTGCATGGGTTATTCTAAATTTGGGATTCTGACAGTATTTTGAAAGTACTGTGTGACTGGTAACATATGCAGTATAGACCCTTAATTAAACTAGCATGAACCACAGGTAAGAAATACAATGCAAATCTATAAGAAATGGCTATTTTGCTTTTTTGTGGCCCATTTTTATAAATTTTCAGAGATTGGCAGCTTTCAACTGGAGTACAGTTCTGCCATAAGATATGGCAGTAAACTAATACCAGCTTGCTGGGGGACTGAGGCATACGACTACAGCTACAGTGCCCAATAATCTATCAGTCCTCCAATTGCCATGTTTAAAAAAAGGGATTTGATGAGGAGTCTGAACACAGTATCTTTAAATTAGTTCCCTGCTGCACAGTCCTGAGAAAATAAAGGTCTGCTTTTAAAGAGCTGCAAATTGGTGATCCTATGCACTCCTGAAAAACCTTTCTGGAAGCAAAGACGAAGCCTTACATAGTCCTAATTAAAAAAAAAAAAATCACAGAAATTAATACAATTATCACTGTCTGGAATAAAAATCTACACTAATTCCCAACCTGCCTTTAACCCAATGCTTGAAAAGTTGCAGTGGATTTAGATGCATTGTGCTGTCACACAGCAATTTAGCAACACTTTGAATGAGGTCATGGAAACTGGAATGAGTATCCCATTTATAGTAACTGCCACTTGAGATTAAAATGACAAGAGTTTCTAGCCAGATCAACACAGCTGCCAAAACTTTTATTTTTTTATCCCAAGGCTACGTTTAGTCATTCAGTTAATATCTTTATACGTTTTTGAAATTTTCTTTACCCACTTATTAATTTCTTAAATGAAGGTCCCGCTGCATTATCATAGAGTTTAGAAACCAGAGTATACTTGCTTTATCCATTTTCCCAAATTCATATTTCATAATTTACATACCTTCTCAATTCATAAACAAAGATTTTATCATTTGCTCTAATACTGTTTCTTTTATACCTGACAAATCAATCATTGCTGCATATATCAATGTATTTTCTTTTCATACATTAATCAACCCCTTTCTTCAATGAATTCCAGGCAATCCTGAAACTGAAGCAATGCTAGGAAGGTTGAAATTGGACTAGGTGGCATGTGTTACTAACTTCCTTCCATCACTCCTCACTATCAGCCATGCTTCCTGGGAATCTAGGGAGTTAACTGGTGAAGGACATTTTTCTTGAAGCTAAAGTTGTATACATCACCAAAATTATTTTGAGTCTGATAAATATAATACTGTATGGCATAACGTAAAATACTGATTTTTAATTCACATATTCTTATGTTTCCTTCATTATAATAAGGATATCATGTTGCCAGTGGTGGGATTCAGCCAGTTCGCACCAGTTCAGCAGAACTGATGCCTAATTTTTTGTTGAGTTTGGTGAATTGGTTAGGATCATCTGTCGGTGTAGAAACTAAAAAAATGGGAAACGTCGTCTAGAGAAAGATACACTACTCTGGATTCCTTGTAACATTCTGGGAATGTCACAAGATAAACTACCTTTGCTTTTCAACAGTGATATAAGTAAAATTTGACTGGATTTCCTCCAGAGGAGGTTAGGAGTTTCTGTTGGGGATAGTGGCATCCTCAGCCATACAGTGGGACCAGGAGCCGCTTGCGCTGACTGTTCTGATCCAATTCCCTTTGTTCCTGCTTTGTATTGGATTCAATCCCGCGCTGCCCCTCTGTAGAGCTTGGAACACTTGTAGCCACCGCCACACCTCTTTGCGCAGGGAAGGCACATACCTAAACACCATCCTCATGAAAGGATCTCCAGAGCCGCCACAGCCCCCCCTCCCCTCCCTCCAGAGGCTGCCCCCGAGCTTAATCCACCAGGAGGAGGTTTCCATGGGAAACCTTTGAAGCTGAGATGGTGCTGTGCTTCTGGAAAGAGGTGGGGGCCAAAGCTGTGTAGTAGGGGCAGAATGTGCCCATGGATGCTGGAGAGGACTCTACCCCACCGCAGTTCCCCTTCCCGTCTCCCTCTTAGGTGGAGGCCAGAGTGCCAGTGGGAGAAGGAGCAGGGGGCACTGGCAGCCACAGCTACCTGGAGCAGCTGTGCTGGTTCCCCACTTTTGTCTCAACTGCCTCTACCTCCCACTCCTATCCCTTGGCCAGGGTGCCTTTTTCCTTTTCCTCAGCCATAGCGACCTTGGTCCCATTGCTCCCTCGATATTGCCCATTCTCTGCCTTCTGCTGCCATTGCATCTGCCCCTCCTCCCTCTTCTCGAGGACCCTTTAATGGCTCGGACCCTCCAGTGACTGCCACCCGACATTTACACTGCCGGTGGCTGCCATAAGAAGCAAAAAAGCCTAAGAGGAGTGCTGTGTATGGTGAGGAGGCGCAGGAATTAGGAATAGACACTTCATCTCTCTCTAGTTTCCTGATTGGTGCATACGGGAAAGGGGGTGAGGCCACCAAGTATTAGCTGGAGTTTTAGCAGGGAACAGGTTGTTAAATTATTTGAATCCCACCACTGCATGTTGCTTACTTTAACCTATCATCTGCTCTTAACTCATTTTTCAAAAAATTGTTTAACAAAATAAATTGCAGCAACTGTTTGCTTTGCCCACCTTCAAAAATATGAGAATAATCAAGCCATTATTTTTACAAAAAGGTTCATACTAATGTTCACTAACTGGAGAACTGGTATTGCTAACCTAATGAGAGGTAATTTTAAGTAAACTAGATAATTGAATTTAATATTTTTATGAAAACAGAAAAGAATAGGAACATTCTTTTCAAAAGTCACAACAGTTTTTTTATGGTAGCATATTGCAATTAAGGTCTTCATTAAATTTAAAAATAAACATAAGCATTTTTTTCAGAAGTACCTACCAAAAACATTTATAAATGTAAAACAATAAATAGAACAATTTATATCTAATGTAATTAGTTTCTAAAAAGTCAAACCACTGGAAAATAACCATTCCTTCCTTTACATCATTATTTTATCATTCTGATTTTCTCAAGCACCTAACTTTAGATGAAAATTAGGTTTGCCTAGTTATTTTCCTTGGATGGTTATTTAACTAATGAAGGAAAAAATCACTTTAAATATTCCACATGAAACCAATTTGGCACTCATGTAACCTGTAGGTAGGTTTTAGAGGTGAAACTGTAAATGTCAGTGCTATAATTTGTTAAAGGCTTCTGACAACTAGTAAGTCAAGTCACCACAAATTCTCACAATTCAAAGAACGTTTATATAAATGTGAGCTTTTCCTAAAAAGAGATAAATAAAAGACCTTTCCATTCAGGCTGAATGAAGCTTTTAAACTAGTAGAGTGAGGAAACCATTAGAAATAGCATATTGAACTGTTTTGTTTTTTTAAAAATATGGCATACATTTAAAATGGTTTAGCCAAGTGATAAATAACTCTTTTTCTCGATATAAAAGTTGTAGTAAATGTAACTGTAAAGAGCTTTACTTACCAGACATGAAGCTGTGCTATTAAAAACCAAGAGTTGAAAGTGTCAGGGATCTGTAATTCTTAAAAATGAATATGGTGAGTGCAAATGTATTTTACTACTTAAACATTTAAAAAGATACACAAATTGGCTTGCATACATATCTATTCTGCACATACAAGGAGGAAAAAAGTCTGTATATATGCATGCACATAATTCTTTTTTCCAGAGCTATTTAGTAATAATCATAATAATCATCCCCCAGACTGACTACAAGCAGCGGCATGACAAAGTAGCAACAATGGTGCATTGGAAGAACTGCAAGAAATATCATTTGCCTGTAAGCAAAAACTGGTGGGATCATAAAATAGAGAAAGTCATAGAAAATGATAAAATTAAACTGCTCTGGGACTTCAGAATTCAAACAGACAAGCATCTGCAACATAACACTGCAGACTTAACAATTGTCGATAAGAAAGACAAAAAAGTCTGGATAGTGGATGTAGCAGTGCCTGGAGACAGCAGAATAGAGAAAGAACTGGAGAAGATAACAAAATACAAAGACCTACAAATAGAAATAGAAAGACTGTGGCAAAAGCAAGTAAGGGTAGTACCAATAGTAATAGGCGCCTTGGGTGCAATCTCAAAACAATTGGAGCACCACTTGAACACCATTGGCTTTGACAAATTCGCCATTAATCAATTGCAAAAGGCGGCCTTACTAGGAACTGCTTCCATCCTGCAACGATATCTGTAATACCATAAAACATGCACATCTGCCTATCCCAGGTCCTTGGTAAGGACTCGATAGGTAGACAAAAATGCCAAATCCAGTCTGAACATCTGGCTGACTGTGTGATGAGTAATAATAATAATAATCATAATCATAATCGTAAGTTGGAAGGAACCTTGGAAGTCTTGTAGTCCAATCCCCTGCTGCTCAGACAGGAAACTCTATACTATTTCAGACAAATGGCTGTCCAGTCTCTTCTTAAAAACTTCCAATGTTGGGCATTCACAACTTCTGGAGGCAGGTTGTTCCACTGATTAATTGTTTTAATTGTCAGGAAATTTCTCCTTTTCTCCTTAGTTCTAGGTTGCTTCTCTTTTTAATTAGTTTCCATCCATTGCTTCTTGTCCTGCCTTCAGGTGCTTTGGAAAATAGCTTGACTCCCTTCTTTGTGGCAACCCCTGAGATATTGGAACACTGCTATCGTGTCACCCCTAGTCCTTCTCTTATATAAACTAGACATACCCAATTCCAGCAACCGTTTATGTTTTAGCCTCCAGTCCCCTAATCATCTTTGTTGCTCTTCTCTGTACTCTTTCTAGAATTTCAACATCTTTTTTCTATCGTGGTGACGAAAACTGGATGCAGTATTCCAAGTGTGACCTTACCAAGGCATTGCAAATTGGTATTAACACTTCACATGATCTTGATTCTATCCCTCTGTTAATGCAGCCTAGCACTGTGTTGGCTTCTTTGGCAGCTGCAGCACACTGCTGGCTCATATTTAAGTGATTGTCTATTAGGACTCTGATATCCCTCTTATACTTCCTACTATTGAGCAAGGTACCACCTATACTGTACCTGTGCATTTGGTTTTTCTTGCCTAAATATAGAACCTTACTTTTTTCACCATTGAATTTCATTTTATTAGATAGCGCTCAATGTTCAAGTCTATCAAGATCCTTCTGTATCTTAAGCCTGTCTTCTGGAATGTTGGCTATTCCTGCCAGCTTGATGTTGTCTGCAAATTTGATGATTTCCATCTATCCCCTCATCCAAATCATTGATGAAGATGTTGAAAACCACTAGGCCCAGAACAGAGCCCTGGGTCACCCCACTACACACTCCCCTCCATGTAGATGCAGTTCCATTGAGGACCACATGCTGAGTATGGCCAGTCAGTCAGCTATGAATCCATCTGGTGGTGATGCTGTCTAGCCCACATTTTTCTATCTTATCAAGTAGCAGACTGTAGTCTACTTTATCAAATGCCTTACTGAAGCCCAAGTAAATTATATCCACAGCATTCCTCTATGTAAGCCTATAAAATTTGAGAGAAGCTGGAGATCAGAGCTTTGGAGGAACTGGTGCTGGTGATAGTGGTGGTGGTGATAATGATGGATAAAATTATCCATGTATATTAACATGGTGAGTCAGTATTTTAATATTTGAGTTAATAGGGAATATGTTGGGCTCTGCAATTTGTCCTTTGATAAACTAGTACTTTGTGACAAGCCACATGATACATTTTAAACAATGTGGTATAAAACAATTTTTGTGCATATCATATAATTACCATAAATTATCACTGGGTATTACTTAACATAGGTATTCAAAGTCCACAATCTTTCTAGACTATAAGCTATCCTATTTTTATCACAATCACAGGATAGTGAGAAGAGAGAAGGATGAAGAACTTACTGTTAAAGAATTCTTCATAGTCTATTTTATCCACGCAACATGTATACATGCGTAGTGCTGCTATTCTAATTTTCTGAAGAGAAAAAACAATTATTATATTATTTCTATTTTTCACTAAAGAAATTTCTGCAAAAATACACAAATATTCCTCTAAATTTTGAGATATTCACATTTCTATATCATTTATTATTAGCTAAATGTGAATTATTTATTAAACCAATTTATAAAGTTGCCCATCTCACAAACAGCGAAAGGACAGAATGCAAAATAAAAACCAAATTAAAAGGATTATTGCATCACAACATATTAAATTAGTTACATAGTTTCATTTAACAATATTCAGTTTAGAAAAACTTAATTAGCAATACTTCATTTCCACTAACATATGCTTTCAAATCTATTTAATCTCTGAGATATTTAGCTTCACAGTCTAAACTGAATTTAGGAGAATTTTTAATAATTAACATTGGGTTATAAAGCATTATCAATCCCATGCCAACTGACCAGGCAAGCAAATTCATAATGCATTTGCGTAATTGTATTTAGAATTCATTCATTCAAGCTTATATTTTTTTCTATTTCAAACATGCCAATTCTTCACTGATACCATTATCACAAAAGTAGAAGGGTCATTTAGTTATAAATGGGCTAAAGGGCCACCTTAACTTCAGTACAAGAATCCAAACTGAAATATTCTTTTCATAAGAATTTTATCCTATTATTTAATTGGAATGTGCTTTCCTGTAACTTCAGAGCATTATTCTCTATCCCAGTGGTGGTGAACCTATGGCATGGGTGCCAGAGGCGGTACTCAGAGCTCTCTCTGTGGGCACGCGCGCCGTCGCCCCCGTCCTAGGCCTTCAGCTGGGTTTTATAACTTTATGACTTTTCACTTTAGGCCTCCGCCGCCGTGTACAAAAAAAAGGTTCAATCAATCAGTCAATTTCAACTTCTCGCGGGAAAAAAAAGATCTTGCAAAGTTGGAATTGATTGATTGAACTTTTTAGTCCCACCCGGTCTGCTATTACCACCGCAGCCATGCCCACCCAATGGGCCACACCCACCCAATGGGCCACACCCACCCGGCACCCGATGATGCATAAGTGGGTTTTGGATTGCAGTTTGGGCACTCGGTCTCTAAAAGGTTCACCATCACTGCTCTATCTTGTACCCCAAGGCTAGATCAATCAGGGACTGTGTAGTCACGAATCCTGCAGTGGGCATATATTGGACTTGCTAATCTCCTAGGTCCCTTCCAGCTCTATGATTCAATGGTAGTAAACATTCTTGGCTTTATCTGAAACATCCTGTCAGGTACTTAAAAATGGTGTAATATTCTCAAGAAACAATATGGTATGCTTAGCCTTTCCTAAAACAACATCTTAAAGTAAACCTTGATGAGATGATCATATAAAAGTACCTTATTGCTCATGCATCTGTAATCTGTGATTACAGATATTACTAGGTAAATTGGAAATTTTATTATGCAGCATCAAGACACGGGTACACAGAAATTTAAAAAACAACTTTTAGATAAAAAATATGGATGATGCTACCTAAAAATTCATTCCAACTATTTCTGGGGGAAACTGGCAATACATTACCATTGTATTTGAGCTTAATTCTACTTATTCTCTTTTTAACACTCCTTTAATAAATAAACAATTGAATAGATCTTGGTAATAAAAACATCACTTCTTTTCGATGCTTTTTGGAGAGTTGGTTGAGCATTTGATTTTTTTTTTTTTTAAATTTGGAATGTCCTTTATTTTACTTTGGAGTCTTTACTTTTAAAAATAAATTTCCTTATATAATAAGTTGCTGGGTTACAACAAAAGAGAGATGCAAAGTACTACTATGACATGTATTCCAACTGCACCATAATCATTCCAAGCACCAAACAATCATGTTTTATACTCTTCTGAGCATCTGCTTCAGTTTCAGAACTTAAAGCTGAAACAGCCCATTTCAAATTCAAAACAATCGTATCACATTTATAATGTATTCTACACTATCATTAACATAATTAAAAGGCACTCGACCACTCAAGGGATAGAAAAGAATAAAAACATTAACTCAATCTATAGGGTGTTGTGTCACTATTAGACAGGCAGAAAACATTCAGCCAAAATCATCATTTTGATCTTCAAGTATAATAGCTGCAATCCTATAATAGGATTATTTTATAAAATATAGTCATCACTTCTCTGGACTAGGAATTTGTATTTCAGAAAAATTTAGACCGAATACAAGTAACAAGTTTATGAAGAAGAGGATCAAACTTAAGAAGAAAAATATTTACCCATTTTCTATATTTTAGTGGCCCTGTAAATCCCATTGCTTCTATTATCTTTGTGAAAGTGCCTACTTTCTCTTCAGATGGCTGAGCGGAACTTCTAAAAATCTATAATAAAAACAAAAAGTTGTAAAACTCACATTTTGATTCATAAATTTTCAGTTAAACTATATTCAGCTCTAAATGACAGTTCTGAATTGATAGAATTTTTTCCCATTTTTTTCCAATGACTATTGTTGCAAAAATGAAGCAAAAAGATATTTCCATCCATATGTTGAATCCAGAGAGATACCATCTCTGTTAGATTTCATTTATATCTCTTTACTGCACAAGCCGAATCCCAATTAGCTAAGAAATAAGTTGAAACTGGCACAAGTAAATAGTACCCACCATTCTTTATTCCACACTCCACAGAGCAGACATTTTGCTTTTGATGTATGACTTAACATATTCTTGTAAATGATATTCTTTGAGAAAAAAGGGAGGGGTACCAATACTTTTGGCCATGTCTATACCTCAATATAGAAGCAATGTACTAAAATGGATACAAAATGTTTGCCATATTTCTCTTCTCCACCAAAAACTATGTACAGATAGTACTCGACTTATGATCATAATTGAGCCCAAAATTTATGTTGCTAAGCAAAACATTTGTTAAGTGAATTTTGCCCCATGTTACAATCTTCCTTGCCACAGTTGTTAAGTGAATCTTGCTTCCTCATTGACTTTGCTTGTCAGAAGTTGGCAAAAATAGATCACATGATCCCAGGACACTGCAACCATCATACATATGAACCAGTTGCCAAGCATCTGAATTTTGATCACATGATCACAGGGATGCTGCAATGGTGAATAGTGTGAAAAATGGTCATAAGTCACTTTTTTCAATGTCATTGTAACTTCAAATGGTCATTAAATGAATGGTTGTAAATTAAAGACTACCAGTATCATTTAAAATTTTACATTAAATAAAGGAGGCACTGTTTGTTTATAACTTCACAAGAAGCATTTCTAAATACTTCCGGATTATCAAAGTTATCTAGATCCCAGTTTGTCACTATATTATTGAAAGAATTTATTGAAAAGTATGTGGCTTATAAAACTCCACATTTCCAATAGCAGTTCTGCTATTTTTGATGGGAAGGTAGAGAACTTATATTTTCTTCCTGGGTTTTGTAGATTACCCCAATCTAGAGACTCAGAATGGTATTAAAAAGATTTTTAAAAAATCAAGTACCATTGAGTAAAAAAGAACCTCCCCAAGTGGAAGCCACAAAACATTTAAGTTTAATGGAAAAATAAAGCCGATTTGACTACTTTAAGAAAGGGCTGGCTGGAAGGCTGTTGCATAACCCTCCAAAGATAGAGACTTCCAAAGCATGGAGCCACAAAACCAAAAACATCTATTGCCTGGTCCACTGTAGCTTTGCTTAGGGAGACTTCTCAGGGGGCCTACCTCTGAATACAATGCCTAAGACAATCATTTTAATTAATCATAATAAATAACACATGAAAACCTGCAGTTCTGCCCATCAAAATGATCAAAAGAGAGTCTTTTTTTTTGAATAATGAAACTCTGTCCCTTTTGGGAATGTGCGTGACATCGTAACAAGCAGCAGGGCTTGTGTCACAACACTATTTGCATCACTCACTACCCTTCTGCAGATGCCCCTGGAAATCCCTGACTCTGGGCTGTTGGTTTGATCTCCGAGCTTGGCAATTTGGTTGCAAACGTTTTGACTCCATTCCGGGGGGGGGGGGGGGAGAGAGAGAGAGAGAGAGAGAGAGAACATCTTCAGTATACTTTGAACTATGGTTGTCTGTCAGAGCACTGGCCTTTAAATACCTTTTTGTGTGATGTAAATTGGTGTGGGCATTGTTTGTCCAGATGTTGCTGAGTCATGGTCTGGTTTCAGACTGTTTGATTTGCTGGTTGTTGTTGCTGGGCCATACTCCTTGGTATCTAAGTATAGTCTGTGTGATGCAAATGGTGTTTGTTCGTTCAGTTACCTCTGAGTCATGATCTGGTTTCGGGTTGTTTGGTTGGCTGGCTGGTCCAATTTCTTGTGGAGGGCTGTGATTTTTGTTGCTGAATGGTGGGGTTCCTGTTTGTTCATTTTTAAATGCTGCCTTCAGGATTGCGGTTGCAGTAGTTCTTTTGTTCTCAGCAGTTGGTAGATTGGGTTGATGTCAATGTGCCTGTTTATTGATTTGTTGGAGAACCAGGCTTCTCTTGCTCTCCTTGATTTCACTTGGTTTACAACAATGGAGACGAAACATTTGCAACCAAATCTCCAAGCTTGGTGATCAAATCAACAGCCCAACTATCAACCCAAGCTACAATATTCAAACACATTCCAACCTTGACTCTGCCATACTGCTGCTTTTCACCGTTATGGAAGTCCATAAATGCCTCTGTGTCTAGAATGAGCAAAAATTGCTGAACCAGAATTAGAAATATTGCATGAACAGCCCTTACAGTTTTCTTATGAAGATCTAACAAATAGGGGAAACCTCTTTGAAAATTTTGCTGCTATAAATGTAGCCTCTATTATTTAGGCACACTTCTACACAAATCCAGAAATCTCCAGATCCAATAAGACACAACCGTAACCCAGTATATTCGAACAGCATAATTGTAATAGAAAACTTTGCTTTGTCCTGACCTTTGTGTCATGAAATGTTCTGTTTGGTTGTTTTATGGTCCTGATACTTTGTATTAAATCACAGCAAACTTTGGTTAACTGAAACTGGCCATTGTTGTGTCTCTGATAAAACAACAAAAAGAAAAGGGCATAAGTATGCAAAAAAGAATGCAGAAGAGAAATATTGTTAGCTTAAGAGATAACATAAGCCTGAAAGTTACTTAACTGGAGTCAACCAATAAAAGTTGACATCAGGAAGGTCTATGATGCCTTAAAATCTATACAAGTGAGCCATTACTAGAAATATATATTGAAAAAGAAAGAAACCTCTCAGTAGGCTCACAGAAACATTATCTTTTACCTTGTTATCCAAAACTATATTACCTCCACCTGCAATTGACTGTAATTCTCATTTTTTAATAGAAGCCTCTCTAACACCTAGATTTCATCTTCTTAATTCCTATTAATATCCTATATCCTTTCCTAACCACTGTAACACATACTTTTTTAGTTTTATGCAATACTGTCACATGGTTCAGTTGTTTAGCTTATAATAAAGAACAATGTTCTGCAAAGCATAGCAGATAAAACTGGTCTTCAGGAATGATAAAGGCAAATAGAGTAAGTCACGTCAGGTTCAAATTATTCAGCAGATTAAAGGTACAGAAAATACTTCTTTCAACATTCCCACAAAATTCCCGCACAATATAGTTCTCATTCTTGCAGCTGTACCTGCAAAAATATGTTATCCAGTAATTTCCGTGGAGAATTCTGCCCCATTAGGGTTGAACTCCTACCTGGAGAGAAGCATGAAGCAACCTGCCCCACTGCTGTTGAGCTAATGTTGGTATCAATCCATTGCATAATGAAATCCAATGAGGTTCTCTAGTACAGTGTATCTAGAAAAAGAAAATAAAAACGAATGTATATCAATGGTCATTCATTTGGAACAGAATTTAAATTCAAAACATAGCGTACGGCTTAGTATAAAATATAAATGTACTGGTCTTTTGAAGATTCTGAATTTCCTGAGTATACTTCAATCATATGAATTTTCAAGATATTTAATTACAATTCAAAGTGACAAATTATTAGTCAAATTTATATTCTAATAACTTTTCAGTGTATGGTTAATATTTTTAGTTTGTGGGCTTTGGGCATGCATTTATCTCATGAATCTCAGAAAAAAACATTTCATCTTTTAATGGAATAGCATGCATTGATACATGACAGTAATTATATATTCTGCACTAATATCCATTTATATTAAGTAGAGATATGCATGTATTCTATTATAGTACTGATATGTGCCTAAGTCATCCTGGAATATCCTGTCAACAAATTATACCCTAAAAAGAACACTCATTATACATTCATAGTACTATTAACACTCATAGTAATTTCATAAAATTATAAATTATAAATTATTGAACAGGTTTTCAATAGTATAACAGTTGCTAAATGAAGAACATTTCTAATTTCTATTGTAGAAATGCCACTGAACTTGGCTCTTATCTGTATTCTATAATGTATTATATTTTATAGTGCAATAAAACAATTTGTGAAAAACTATTATAGTATGAGAAAATTAAAATGAAGTATATACTAGTATAATTAAAATGCTATATCACCATTAATGGTGATAATCAAAACAACCCCTCCAACATACAGCTTCCATGTAAAAGCATCTTTAAGGATGCAGTATCAATTACAACCAGTTACAGCTTGAGCCAGAATATCTCACAATATAAAGTTAAACATAGTTATAATTGGCTTGAAACGCAACATTAAGAAAACCAAAATCATGGCATCCGGCCCTCTCAATTCCTGGCAAATAGATGGGGACGAAATGGAGGTAGTGACAGATTTTATTTTCCTGAGCTCCAAGATCACCTCAGATGGGGACTGCAGCCAAGAAATTAAAAGACGCTTGCTCCTGGGGAGGAAAGCTATGGCAAATCTAGACAGCATACTCAAAAGCAGAGACATCACCCTGCCAACAAAAGTGCGTATATTCAAGGCCATGGTTTTCCCAGTTGCAATGTATGGATGTGAAAGTTGGACCATACAAAAGGCTGAGCGACAAAGAATTGAGGCCTTTGAACTATGGTGCTGGAGAAGACTCCTGCGAGTCCCTTGGACTGCAAGGCGTTCAAACCGGTCAGTCTTAGAAGAGATCAACCCCGACTGCTCTTTAGAAGGCCAGATCCTGAAGTTGAAACTCAAATAACTTTGGCCACCTAATGAGAAGGAAGGACTCACTGGAGAAGGGCCTAATGCTGGGAAAGATTGAGGGCAATAGAAGAATGACATGACAGAGAATGAGGTGGCTGGATGGAGTCACTGAAGCAGTAGGCGTGAACTTAAATGGACTCCAGAAAATGGTAGAGGACAGGAAGACCTGGAGGAACGTTGTCCATGGGGTCGCGATGGGTCGGACACGACTTCGCAATTAACAAGAAGTTATAATTGCAGTGAAAAGATAAACAGTCACACTACTGAATATGAAAAGATTTACTTCCATTAACTGCAGTATTAGGAAAAGTATAGAGAAGCATTTGAATACAACAGATGTTAACTGAGGCAATTATAACTGGATCTAAGTGATTTACTTTAATAAAACTGTTCTTTAGACTGTGTCATGGCACATCTCACTCACTAATAGATATTTATACTACATATACTGTAATATACCTGCCTTGCAAAAGGTAAAGATTAATGTTCATATTTCTTCTAATCTTTTAATGATTATAGTTGCTATAGAGCAACAAAGATGATTAGGGGACTGGAGGCTAAAACATATAAGGAACGGTTGCTAGAATTGGGTATGTCTAGTTTAACGAAGAGAAGGACAAGGGGGGACATGATAGCAGAATTCCAATATCTCAGGGGCTGCCATAAAGAAGAGGGAATCAAGCTATTTTCCAAAGCACCTGAAGGCAGGACAAGAAGCAACGGGTGGAAACTAATCAAGGAGAGAAGCAACCTAGAACTAAGGAGAAACTTCCTGACAGTGAGAACAATTAATCAGTGGAACAGCCTGCCTCCAGAAGCAGTAAATGGTCCAACACTGGAGGTTTTTAAGAAGAGACTGGACAGCCATTTGTCCGAAATGGTGTAGGGTTTCCTGCCTGAGCATGGGGTTGGACTAGATGACCTCCAAGGTCCCTTCCAACTTTACTACTACTACTGCTATAAGAAGGTCCAAGCAATCTAGAACTAAGGAGAAATTTCCTGACAGAACAATCAATCAGTGGAACACCTTGCCTTCAGAAGTTGTGAATACTCCATCACTTGAAGTTTTTAAGAGATTGGACAACCACTTGTCTGAAATGGTATAGGGTTTCCTGCCTGAGTAGGGGATTAGACTAGAACAGTGGTTCTCAACCTTTTTAATGCCGCGACCCCAACCGGTCGTAAGTTGAGGACTAAACAACCGGTCGTAAGTCGAGGACTAAACCGGTCGTAAGTCGAGGACTATCCAACTGGTTGTAAGTCAAGGACTTTCCCTGCCTGGGAACACCGCGCATGCGTGGTGCCGCCCCCTGCGCCTGCTAAGGCGTAGTTGGCAAGCGGCAGAGACGGAGGAGGCTGACCACCGGCTAGGCCACCAGCTGGCCCAGCCCAAGTGAGGTAAGGCACCCGCTGGGCCCCATGCGCGCCAGCAACCCTCCCTGCGCCCACCGGCCTCCCACCTCCCACCCCTGGGCCTCTTTTACTTACATTTTTAGTAGTTGCTCAGCAGGGAGGGGTGAAAGCTTCCAGACAGCTCGCCTTCGCTGCAGACAACTTGCAGCACCGTTTGCAGACTGGGGCTTTTGGCGGGCTCAGCAGGGCAGAGACAGCCTGGACAATTCCTATTGGCTTTTGAAAGCCAATAGAATTAGACTCTATTCAAGAGAGTCTATTCTATTGGCTTTCAAAAGCCAATAGAATAAAAGGGAGTAGTACAGCTAAGGAAAAGGGGAAAAAAATGGCGGACTGCATTGTTTGGCGACCCCCATGGTCGTTCGACCCCAAATGGGGTCCCTACCGACAGGTTGAGAACCACTGGACTAGAAGACCTCCAATGTCCCTTCCAACTCTGTTATTCTGTTATATATGCAGGCACTATTGAGCAACTAACAGGCAAATGGGAGAATCAACACAAAAGTGGTTACAGGAACACACGGACATGAAAAGTAATAGGAGTGCCAAACGAATGGAAAATCTCCATTGACATTTCCAAACAAAAATAATCAATCAGTATGATAAGAGGTATAGAATTAAGTATGTTAATTTTTATGACAATTAATGTTCAGCTCAAAGTTCTTGCTTTGAGAAAGTGTGTGTGGATGGATCGTTTTAGCCTACCCACTAAACCTCATGAAGGTTATGATCTCCTCCTCATCTTACTTTTCCTCCTCCGCAAAGATTATTTCATAGCCACAGGACTCCCACGGGGACCCCCCCAGTTCTGAGAACTCCGGGGATCATACTTAGACCAGCAGCCCCCTTCTTTGCTCCGACTCGCAGCTTTCCCACCATGAAAACGATCCTATGGTGTGGGCTTGCCATTCATACATCAGGTTCTCGCTCTCGACCGAGCAACAAAGGCAAACAGAGCACGCCAGGAAGCAACCCCCCAGGGAAGCCTCCGAACATTGGACCATCCGTTCCTCAGGAGCAGCGTCCCGGCTAGTTTTATGAAAGACTCTCACAAACAGGTCATGCACCCGACTCACCACGACTTTCACCAGCGCCGCCATCTCCCTCGCGGGACGCGCTTCCGTTTCCGTGGAACATCCAAGTTCTTCCGTTTCTCCGCCGGGCAAATGCGAGAAGGCGCGTTCTGGTGGTCCTAGACAATGGCGCGATCGAACCGCGTTTCCATGGAGACTCTTCTAGAACAGCTTCCTCCGCCCGAGCCCTGAGGGGAGCTGAGTTAACAATCGCCGCGCTCTCCTCAGCCACTTGGAGGCCATCAGGGC